TTCATCCAATGTGAATTCTTTTGTGGGCGAAGCATTTTCTTCTTGATGTTCCTGTTGTTTCTTCATATAAACACTGCTGATCTATTTCCACAAGTATTGCATCATCAAGGTCATCGGAATGCAATTGACACACATTTTCACAATTCAAAGCTTCTAACCTGAGATAATCTTTCCCAAGCTGCACAATGTTTTCACACACATTTTGAATATGGGATTCAAAACCAGCAAAATCGTTGGAACACACAGTAAAAGAAAGTGCCAAACAGCTCTCATGGTGCTCGCGATTATTGCAAACCATGACTCACTTAGGTTTTCAGCTGCATTTCATATATTGTAACCTTTCCAAAATTTGTTTAAACTTATGGCATTTTCTCCCGTTGTTACATTTATGGCTTGTGCAAAGGTGCATATTAAATAATAGGTCTTAAATATAGCAATGATACCCTAATCCATTGGCTGCAGTAATAATGATGTGTTCGGTGGCAGGAAAATTACATAGATATTTTCATTCAAGTCAGAAAGAGAAGTACGATTACCTGGTTCAACAGAATTTTAAAATCCATGTCATTATCTTTGCAACAGTTTTCATCTGCATGGCAAAAATAATTTGCAAACCAATCTTCAGACAGTTGTCTCTTTATCCAGGCTTTCTTATTTGGCTGCCTTATAACAGGAAGACCTAGGTAGTAGGTTGGTTGACAGCAACTGCCCAGGGAGGTACTACCGTCCTGCCAAGTGAGTGTAAAACGGAAGCCTGTAATTGTTTTACACGATGGTAGGATTGCTTGTGTCTTTTTTTTTCTGTCTCATGAACATGCAAGATTTCAGGTACATCTTGCTACTTCTACTTACACTTAGGTCACACTACACATACATGTACAAGCATATACATACACACCCCTCTGGTTTTCTTCTATTTTCTTTCTAGTTCTTATTCTTGTTTATTTCCTCTTATCTCCATGGGGAAGTGGAAGAGAATTCTTCCTCCGTAAGCCATGCGTGTTGTAAGAGGCGACTAAAATGCTGAGAGCAAGGGGCTAGTAATCTCTTCTCCTGTATATATTACTAAATGTAAATGGAGAAGCTGTCGTTTTTCCTTTTGGGCCACCCTGCCTCGGTGGGATACGGCCGGTGTGTTGAAAGAAAGATAACAGGAAGAGCATTTTTTGAATAGCATTCATGACCCCTTGGATTTTCCACTCTGTACAACTGCATAGGTTTTAATTTAAAGCCATCAAATGCATTCCCACCTAATAAAAGCATTAAATGGTTTTTGGAAACTTTATATCGGTTGTGATGATTCTTTTTCCGCCAGATAAGTGCGAGACAGCATCTTCTACCAGAACAAACTCATTTCATCTAAGTTACAATTTGCTTGTCTTTGTAGCCATTTTCTTCAATATTTTTAAATTGTTAGGAAATCTTGCAGCTGCCACATTGCCTGCACTGGCACTTTGACCAGTAATTAGAACATTATGGAGTCCCATACGCTTTTTAAAATTGTAAAACGTTCCATGCCTTGCCAAAAAAACTTTCCCCTTCATTGCCATCCCCCCTATTTTTTTTTTTTTTTTAACATTGAGTAGAGACTTGTTTCTTTAGCTTAAATCATCATCTGACTTAATGGAATTCTTTTCTGGCTGCAATCTTCAACCCATAACATAAAAGACATTCTATATTATCCATTGTAGAACTACAGTTTTTAACAATCACTTTTGACGTATAAGATCTTGTAGCCATTCCATGTCTTTTTATTTATCTTTATTCCTTGCATACTTGTACCAATGCTTTGTTCATTTTCTTGTCACATACTGTTTTAGCATACAATGCACCATCTTCAAGTTTTCTAATTTCTAGTTTTTCATCTAATGTTAACTATTTGTGTTTACTAGAACACTCAGTATCATTGCATTTCCTCTTTCCACTCATATTTGCATATAAAAGGGGTATCAGCACTTCATATAATAAAGAAAAAATTTGTGTATACCTGGAGAGGGCCAGGCTGTGGGGGTCAATGCCCCTGTGGCCTGGTCTGTGACCAGGCCTCATGGTGGATCAGGGCCTGATCAACCAGGAAGTTGCTGTTGGCTGCATGCTACCTGACATACGAACCACAGCCCGGCTGGTCAGGTATTGACTTTAGGTGCCTGCCCAGCTCCTCCTTGAAGACAGCCAGGGGTCTATTGGTAATCGCCCTTATGTTTGCTGGAAGGCAGTTTAACAGTCTTGGGCCCCTGACACTTGTGTTGTCTCTTATCGTGCTAGTGGCACCCCTGCTTTTCATTGCTGGGATGTTGCATCATCTGCCGAGTCTTTTGCTTTCATAGGGTGTGATTTTCGTGTGCAAGTTTGGTACTAATCCCTCTTGGATTTTCCAAGCGTATATAATCATGTATCTCTCCTGTCTGCATTCTAGGGAGTACAGGTTGAGGAATTTCAAGCATTCCCAGTAATTTAGATGTTTTATCGCAGTTGTGTGTGCTGTGAAGGTTGTCTGTACATTTTCTAGGTTAGCAATTTCACCTGCTCTGAAAGGTGCTGTTAGTGTGCAGCAATATTCCATCCTAGATAGAACAAGTGACCTGAAGAGTGTCATCATGGGCTTGGCATCCCTAGTTTTGAAGGTTCTCATTATCCATCCTGTCATTTTTCTAGCAGATGCGATTGATACACTGTTATCGTTTTTGAAGGCGAGATCCTCTGACATGATCACTCCCAGGTCTTTTACATTAGTTTTTTGCTCTATTGTGTCGTTGAAATTTGTTTTATAATCTGATGTAGTTTTAATTTCCTCACGTTTTCCATATCGGAATAATTGAAATTTCTCATCGTTGAACTTCATATTGTTTTCTGCGGCCCATTTAAAGATTTGTTTAATGTCCATCTGGAGTCTTGCGATGTCTTCAATGGAGGACACTGTCATGCAAATTTGGGTGTCATCTGCAAAGGAAGACATGGTGCTGTGGCTTACATCCCTGTCTGTGTCAGATATGAGGATGAGGAACAGTATGGGAGCAAGTACTGTGCCTTGTGGAACAGAACTTTTCACCGTAGCCACCTGAGATTTTACTCTGTTTACTACTACTACTCTGTGTTCTATTTGTTAGGAAATTGTAGATCCATCTACCAACTTTTCCTGTTATTCCTGTTATGCATTTTGTGCATTATTACACCATGGTCACACTTGTCAAAGTCTTTTGCAAAGTCTGTGTATACTACATCTGCATTTTGTTTGTCTTCTAGAGCATCCAGGACCTTGTCATAGTGGTCCAGTAGTTGGGACAAATAGGAGTGACCTGCTTTAAACCCATGTTACCCTGGGTTGTGTAACTGATGGGTATCTAGATGGGTGGCGCTCTTGCTTCTTAGAACCCTTTCAAAGATTATGATATGGGATGCTAGTGCTGTTAGTCTAGTTCTTTGCTATTGCTTTACTGCCCCCTTTGTGGAATGGGGCTATGTCTGCTGTTTTTAGCAGCTGTGGGATGACCCCCGTGTCCATGCTCCCTCTCCATAGGATGTTAAAAGCACATGATAGGGGCTTCTTGCAGTTCTTGATGAAGACAGAGTTCCATGAGTGTGGGCCTGGGGCAGAGTGCATGGGCATGTCATGTATCGCCTTTTTGAAGTCATTTGGCATTAGGATAATATCAGATAGGCTCGAGTCTACCAAATTCTTCTCTCTCTCTCTCTCTCTCTCTCTCTCTCTCTCTCTCTCTCTCTCTCTCTCTCTCTCTCTCTCTCTCTCTCTCTCTCTCTCTCTCTCTCTTCTCTCTCTTCTCTCTCTTTCTCTCTCTTCTCTCTCTTTTCTCTCTCTTTCTCTCTCTTTCTCTCTCTCTTCTCTCTCTCTTTCTCTCTCTTTCTCTCTCTCTTTCTCTCTCTTTCTCTCTCTTTCTCTCTCTTTCTCTCTCTTTCTCTCTCTTTCTCTCTCTTTCTCTCCTTTCTCTCTCTTCTCTCTCTTCTCTCTCTTCTCTCTCTTTCTCTCTCCTTTTCTCTCTCTTCCTCTCTTTTCTCTTCTCTTTCCCCTCCCTCTTTCTCTCTCTCTCCCCTCCTTTCTCTCTCTTTCTCTCTCTTTCTCTCTCTTTCTCTCTCTCTCTCTCTCTCTCTCTTTTTCTCTCTCTCTCTCTCTCTTCTCTCTCTCTCCTCCTCTTTCTCTCTCTCTTCTCTCTCTTTCTCTCTCTTTCTCTCTCTCTTCTCTTCTTTCTCTCTCCTTTCTCTTCTCTTTCTCTCTCTTTCTCTCTCTCTTTCTCTCTCTTTCTCCTCTCTTTCTCTCTCTTTCTCTCTCTTTCTCTCTCTTCTCTCTCTCTTTCTCTCTCTTCTCTCTCTCTCTCTCTTTCTCTCTCTTCTCTCTCTTCTTTTCTCTCTCTTTCTCTCTCTTTCTCTCTCTTTCTCTTTCTCTTCTCTTTCTCTCTGCTCTTCTCTCTCTTTCTCTCCTCTCTCTCTCTCTCTCTCTTTCTCTCTCTCTCTCTCTCATAAAAAATTTCATTTAGGTCATCGACTTTGTCTGGTTACCGGCTCGCTAAAAAACCGAGTCATTGGGACTTAAGTAGCTCACTCATTACCTTGCTGTCATTTAAAAGTTGTGATTTGATAATGGTCTAGAATGGGCTGAAATGTCACTTGGTTTCTTATCCTAATTGTGAGTTAGTTTAAATAGTTCCATCAATGATACTGATTTTACCTCTGGTTGCTGATGTAGACTTGCCTCTTTGGCATTTTCTGTTTGAAACCTTTTTGGACTTGAGCATAATTTTTTCAGTTTTATTTTTATTAGATAATGCAATAAAAGATCATTCATAAGGACTATTACTTTAACTGTAGAGTAGAGATTAACATTCAATGTCATGAAATTTCATTGCATCTCCCAAGTGTAAAATAAATGATATTAGATTTAATATCCTTCTCAGTCTTATTAACATTTGCTTTAGGTATAGCCAAATTGAGCCATAATCTCTTCTAAGGGCTTTCAGCAATTAAACTTTCAAAAGTTTCCATTCCAGGTGGGAGCCTTACTATCGAAGTGCTCTGGGTAAATTCGTATTGGACTTGGGCTTAAACCAGGCACAAGAATTCCTCCAGCAAGATCTTTTGCGGATGCAGAAGAGAAAGCTAGATAAGATGAAGACTACTCCGTCCAGAGAAGGAATTGTAAGTTCACTATGATGTATTAATTTATTTTTGAAAAACATCAGTCCATCAGTGTGTTCAGTCCATCAGTCTTTTCAAAACTGATGAACTGAACACATTGACTTAAGGCTGAGGGAATGATTACCTCAAACTACTCCTGATTTTCAACCATTCTTTTCTGTATTGGAGTGAGGAAGCCAATGGTAGGCAAAAATGTTTCCACAGTATAGATATCCAGGTGTTGCACAAGTGTGTAATTCATAAAGGATGTACAAGTATCATTACATCTGCTGTCCCTTGTGGTCATTGTGAATTGTATCTTAGGGAAGAGGAGAGATAAGCTTGAATAAAAATTAAGCCACTGCTTGACTTATTAAACTCTTGGCTTTCTTTGGTTATTAAGCCTTTGGACTTTATATGAAATCCAAAGGTCTTCAAGAAGGCAAAGACAACTTTATGCTTTGTGGTGAAAGTTCACCATATTACTTTCGACATTTTACTATTTTTTTTGTATTCGTACCATTAATGCAGTTTAACATTGTTAACAGTATTTTGCATTGTTTTCCAGCTATCGGTCAAAATGTTAGAAAGACAATTAGAATTTACCCGGGAGAAGAATGCTCACCTCAGCGTGCCACTTAAGATTTGCAGATTCTGCAACTTCAAAACGGAAAGCGAATTGGTGATGGACAGACATTTGGAGTCTCCTCATATGGTTAATTATACTTATAAGTGCAACTTCTGCGACTTTGAAACGCGTGGACCTCAGGTAAATCCGTGGGAGAGTATACAAGTTTTTTAGTGAGTGCTTAAAAAATTAAATATATAACAGTATGTTAATTAAATAAATAATTAAAGAATTATTAGTATAATGTGGCAGTTTTAATTACTGTACTTTCTTTTATGGATTTTGCTATGAAGCTTAAAGATCAGGTATCTTTTTAATTTGAAATTTTTCTTGGTAAATCTGCATTATGTTTACAACTACAACCATAAATTTTTTATTTACATCACCTTAGTATCAACAGAATCTTAGATATTTTTGTTTATGCAGTAGTGACTGTTACCTCCACAAATGAAAACATTTTATTAAAAAGTAGGTACAAGGTTAGACTCCAAGAGTAAACTGTAAGTAACAGGTTATTACTTTGTATTAGCTTGCCAAAGATAATGCTGGGATGTTCAGCACAGTTTTAATTTTATTAAAAAGTTTTTTAACTAAACGAAGCATCTAGTAATTTCATAACAAATAAATCATTCCTAATTTGTCATACTATGCAAGAGTGAAATTTTAATCTTGTTCCTCAGGTAATATTATTTCACATGGAAGCAGAACACAACGTTCGTGGACGCTTGGAACGTGCCCCAGCATTTTTTCAGTGTTCCCTATGTCCATATGAAGATAACAACAAATCTAAAATGACAAGACATTCATTTTCTTGTAGCAAAAAGTACAAGCCAGAAAAGAACTGTGAACTGATAGATTGGGAGCCTCCAGCGAAGATTCCGAAGGTATTACATGTATGTTACATTTTTCTCACTGTTTGAATAGTAGTGTAGTTGCATCTGCATAACTGGTTTTAATTGTCTTGAAATTTCTTATGCAACCTCTCCTTATTTAACGATGGAGTTCCGTTCTTAAGACCACGTCGGTAAGTGAATTTGTCTGTAAGCAAGGAGCATACTATAATGGTAGTGGGTTTGTGTCAACCATCTTTGTTATTGTTTTAATGTTACCTTTGCACCACTTATAACACTGTGGCCACCAGGCCATGGTGCACTATGGCTTGGTGGCTGAAGCTCTCACTGCACACGGCGAGGGTCTGGGTTCGATTTCCAGTGACGGTAGAAACATTGGGCGTGTTTCTTTACACTGGTTGTCTATGTTCACCCATCAGTAAAATGGGTACCTGGGAATTAGCCAACTGGTGTGGGTTGCATCCTAAGACAAAACTGACCTAATTTGCCTAAAATGCTCTGCATAACAAGAGGCTTTCTATATAGTAGTATATGTCACTGACGTCTGCTAGGCCTGTATACCTTTTACGTGTACTTGTAGTAAATAAAGATATTCTTCTTTCTTTCAACGCACCAGCCGTATCCCACTGAGTGGGGTGGCCCGAAAGGAAAAACGAAAGTCTCTCCTTTTAAATTTAGTAATATATACAGAATGGGTTACTAGCCCCTTGCTCCTGGCATTTTAGTCGCCTCTTACGACACGCATGGCTTACGGAGGAAGAATTGTTTTCCACTTCCCCATGGAAAAAAGATTATTATTATTATTATTATTATTATTATTATAATATTATTATTCTTTCTTTCAACACACCGGCCGTATCCAACCGAGGCAGGGCGGCCCAAAAGGAAAAACGAAAGTTTCTCCTTTTACATTTAGTAATATATACAGGAGAAGGGGTTACTAGCCTCTTGTTCCTGGCATTTTAGTTGCCTCTTACGATACGCATTGCCTACGGAGGAAGAATTCTGTTCCACTTCCCCATGGAGGTAAGAGGAAATAAACAAGAATAAGAACTAGAAAGAAAATAGAAGAAAACCCAGAGGGGTGTGTATATATATGCTTGTACATGTATGTGTAGTGTGACCTAAGTGTAAGTAGAAGTAGCAAGATGTACCTGAAATCTTGCACGTGTATGAGACAGAATAAAAAGACACCAGCAATCCTACCATCACGTAAAACAATTACAGGCTTCTGTTTTACACTCACTTGGCTGGATGGTAGTACCTCCCTGGGTGGTTGCTGTCTACCAACCTACTACCTAGAATTATTATTGTTATTATTATTATTATTATTATTTATACAGTAGTGTACTGTATACAGCCTCTCCTCGGTTAACGATGGAGTTCCATTCCTAAGACCACGCTGGTAAACGAATTCGTCGCTAAGTGAGGAGCATACTATAATGGTAGGGGGTTTATGTCAATCATCTTTGATATTGTTTTGCCACCTTTGCACCATTTATAACATTTCTGGTTTATATTTTAATGTTTATACAGTAATGTACTGTATATTATAATGAACAGAGTAGAGGAAATCAGCTCTAATATACATTATTTAGGTATGCATGCTGGTCAGAGTGCCCATCGTAAGTCCGAGTCGCCGGTAAACGAGTGTCGCTAATTGAAGAGAGGCTGTAGTTATATTTACAGCTCCATCTAAAATTTTGTATTTTTTCATATATGCCTTTGTGCCTGTACGATTACCATAAAAATCTTGCTAGTTCAGAAATGCTTATCACATTAAATTAACTGCTAGTTCGTAATGTGGTTTTTGTATGGAACTGTTGATGAATGTCTAAATATTAGGAGTAAAGATTACATGTACATCAGCTAAAAAATTATACTTACTAATGTCTTGGGGAAAGAGTGCATTACCAGGTACTGGACACCATACACACAACAGTGCCAGAGGTAAAAAACAAACTTGGTGCCGGATACATTAGAAGTGGTGGGTCCTGGCAGGGTGTCACCATGGATTCTGCAAGGGGAAGCAGAAGCAATGTTAGAACTGCTGGCTATGATCTACAATAATATGTTAACAAACACGGGACAGTCCCCAGAGATCTGGAAGACAGTGAACATAGTATCTACATTTAAGAAAGTCAGTAGGCATGAGGCATTGAACACAGACCAGTTTTGCTGGTATACAACCACCCAGGGAGGTACTACCTTTCTGCCAAGTGAATGTAAAACGAGAGCCTGTAATTGTTTTACATGATGGTAGGATTGCTGGTGTCTTTTGTCTGTCTCATAAATATGCAAGATTACAGGTATATCTTGCTTCTTCTACTTACACTTAGGTCACACAACACATACATGTACACGTTGGGAACCAAAGCAATCATAGTACTAGGGGGAGAGAGCACAACTTTGTAGTACCCACAGTCAGTGGCAAGGCTTCAAACACCTTTTATTGTACATCAATAAAGGAATGGAACAGACTGCCTGTACATGTCAAAGCCAGTCATAGCATGAACCAGTTCAGGAAGAGTGCCAAAAGGTGTCTGATGAATGTAGCTACAGAAAGGGAGGGGAATGATTTTCTATTTTTCAGCTAACATACTTGTAAATTTTACCTTGTTCCTAGTAATGACCCTCGTATTGTAGATAGTCTTAATGACCCTCGTGTAGTAGATAGTCTTTTTAGTATGATAATAAGATGTTATCTTCATTATAGAATAATAAGAAAATATTATAACCTTTATTTATTTTTTTTTTCAACAAGTCGGCCGTCTCCCACCGAGGCAGGGTGACCCAAAAAAGAAAGAAAATCCCCAAAAAGAAAATACTTTCATCATCATTCAACACTTTCACCACACTCACACATTATCACTGCTTTTGCAGAGGTGCTCAGAATACAACAGTTTAGAAGCATATACGTATAAAGATACACAACATATCCCTCCAAACTGCCAATATCCCGAACCCCTCCTTTAAAGTGCAGGCATTGTACTTCCCATTTCCAGGACTCAAGTCCGACTATATGAAAATAACCGGTTTCCCTGAATTTTTTTTTTTTTTTTTTTCAACAAGTCTGCCGTTTCCTACCGAAATATTACCCTGCTCACACTCCAACAGATAGTCAGGTCCCAAGTATCATTCGTCTCCATTCACTCCTATCTAACACGCTCATGCACGCTTGCTGGAAGTCCAAGCCCCTTGCCCACAAAACCTCCTTTACCCCCTCTTTCCAACCCTTTCGAGGACGACCCCTACCCCTCCTTCCTTCCCCTATAGATTTATGTGCTTTCCATGTCATTCTACTTTGATCCATTCTCTCTTAATGACCAAACCACCTCAACAACCCCTCTTCTGCCCTCTGACTTATGCTTTTATTAACTCCACACCTTCTCCTAATTTCCACACTCCGAATTTTCTGCATAATATTTACACCACACATTGCCCTTAGACAGGACATCTCCACTGCCTCCAACCGTCTCCTCGCTGCTGCATTTACCACCCAAGCTTTACATCCATATAAGAGTGTTGGTACTACTATACTTTCATACATTCCCTTCTTTGCCTCCATAGATAACGTTTTTTGACTCCACATATACCTCAACACACCACTCACCTTTTTTCCCTCATCAATTCTATGATTAACCTCATCCTTCATAAACCCATCCGCCAACACGTCAACTCCCAAGTATCTGAAAACATTCACTTCTTCCATACTCCTCCTCCCCAATTTGATATCCAATTTTTCTTTATCTAAATCATTTGATACCCTCATCACCTTACTCTTTTCTATGTTCACTTTCAATTTTCTACCTTTACACACATTCTCAAACTCATCCACTAACCTTTGCAATTTTTCTTTAGAATCTCCCATAAGCACAGTATCATCAGCAAAAAGTAACTGTGTCAGTTCCCATTTTGAATCTAGCATTTACTTCTTTTACAACCCCATCTATAAATATATTAAACAACCATGGTGACATTGCACATCCCTGTCTAAGACCTACTTTTACCGGGAAGTAATCTCCCTCTCTTCTACACACCCTAACCTGAGCCTCACTATCCCCATAAAAGCTCTTTACAGCATTTAGTAACTTACCACCTATTCCATATACTTGCAACATCTGCCACATTGCTCCTCTATCCACTCTATTATATGCCTTTTCTAAATCCATAAATGCAATAAAAACTTCCCTACCTTTATCTAAATACTGTTCACATATATGCTTCAATGTAAACACTTGATCTACACATCCCCTACCCACTCTGAAGCCTCCCTGCTCAACCACAATCCTACATTCTGTCTTACCTCTAATTCTTTCAATTATAACCCTACCGTATACTTTTCCTGGTATACTCAGTAAACTTATTCCTCTATAATTTTTACAATCTCTTTTGTCCCCTTTCCCTTTATATAAAGGGACTATACATGCTCTCCGCCAATCCCTAGGTACCTTCTCCTCTTTCATACATTTATTAAACAAAAGTACCAACCACTCCAACACTGTATCCCCCCCTGCTTTTAACATTTCTGTCATGATCCCATCAGTTCCAGCTGCTTTACCCCCTTTCATTCTACGTAATGCCTCACGTACCTTTATATTAAAATAATAAGGTAAAAGGACCCCAGTGGAAATAAGTCACTGTCTGACTTTTTTGGGTTATCCTAGGTTCTCTACACATATGCTGCTATGTATGATAATTCTATGTAACTGTATTTGTGTATACCCGAATAAACTAACTAACTTACTTTCTTACACATTTATTTATACACACTCATCTGAGTTTTCTTTGATTTTATCTTAATAGTTCTTGTTCTTATTACTTTTCCTTTTATATCCATGGGGAAGTGGAATAAGAATCTTTCCTCCATAAGCCATGAGTGTTGTAAAAGTCAACTAAAATGCCAGGAACAATGGGCTAGTAACCCCTTTTCCTGTAATAATTACTAAAAAGAAGAAGAAGAAAATTGTCAAAGTGGGATGTCTGAATGTGAGTGGATGTTGTGTGACTGATAAGAAAGAGATGATTGTGGATGCTGTGAA